AAAAGGTTTGTACCGCCAGCAGTTGCAGCCAAATTAATATCACTAGGGCCCCTTTTTATCTATCTTGTTTCTGATTGAAACTAGACTTCCCAATTTTTTTAACTTTTTGTTTTTTATAAATTGACTGAAGAAACTCTAAAAAAAAAACAGGTACATTTGTTGGCAATTTGTTATTTGTGGGTGTCTTTAAATTAAAACCATGGTTTCAAAATGCTTTATATTAGGTTCAGGGCTGTCTAAACTCAAACACATTGTCCGGGCCTGGCCAGGCCAGGCCAGGCCGAAAGATTGTGATGAACTCAAATGAAATAGCTAAATTTTTTTTCCCCAAATGGAAATAAACTAATTATTTTTTACAATCCACATTATAATACGGTAGTTTCTCGTGTGATTTTGTTGTGCGATCCACATGATGTGATCACGTAGTGTGATAATGTCGTGCAATTATATGGTGCAATCATGTAGTGTGATTATGTGGTGTAATTATAGTGCAATTATCACCGGACAATTTGGAATGAAAAAGAAATATTAAAATGTGATATGAAAAAAATATATAATTTAATTTTTAAGGTTAAAAAGATGCTCGTTCATTAATATCCAATTTTGGCCCATGTTATGGAAAAAATATACAAACTAAGGCTAAGCCCCGCCCGTTGAGCTAATGGGCTGAATCAAATAGCCCGGACTGATCCAATCAGGCGGGCCCAACTAGACTAATCGGATCAGTCCGTACACCGCATCAGAAGTTGACGATTCTACTTGTAACTAAGTTATAGTATAATTGTTCTTTTTTATTTTTAATTTTTTTGTTTATCTATTATTGATGCTAGTGTATGCTCGGGCCTAGAATATGTAGCTGGGTAGTTCCAATCTCTCCACTGTTGAAACAAATGTATAAAGTTGCAACAAAAAAGATACCACAATATTATTGCTCCTCATTTCCTCAACATATATAGAGGCGCTCTTGGAAACTGGTTTCATCTGTCTTTTGCATGACGGCTTGCGGGTTAATATTTTATTGAGTTTTTCCATTGCATTATGTTTAGGAGATATTTGATTATCTTTTTGTAATATATTATCTTGAAAGAGTGAAAATAGGATAACAAACAAAAGTAAAGAAACTCAAGAAGTCTGCTAGAGAACAAGTTGGACCGAATAAAAACTTCAAAGATCACTAAAAATGGACTAGTAAGACGAATTATGAACCAAGAAAAATATAAGAAAGTATTATGTATGAAGATTATAAAGCCCCATAAAGTCCAAAGTGATATATCACTTGATTAATGATAATAAAATATTAAAATAAAGTTTGTATTTTGTTTTTGTCAACCAAAACATTATTATGATTCGGTGCAATTGCTTTTCAATCTAATGTTTCGGTTGAATATTTTGCTCTGATAATCAAATTTTAAATTAGTTAATTAGGACTCTAATCAAATACGGACAAATACTCTCTCTCTCTCTCTCATATGTACACACATTAAAATTAGACGGGGAGCTGTACTCGAATTGTTGACGTACGTAATAATGATTAATTTCTAGAGTTTGTCCTCAATTAAGGGGGATTTAAAAATATTTTTATTTAAAAATGTGCATGTAACATATAATTTTAATTAATGAGCAAAGGACAAATACGGGTTAATCTTGCCTGAGTGCAATACAATATGAGGGGCAAAAAATTAATTTTGGTCTTCTAAGTTGGTTATTGTCCAGTTTTGGTAGACCAACTTTCCCCTCATAAAAAATAGTCTACTATGTCACAATTTTCATCAATCTTAGTACAGTAATCCCGAGGGGTCGGATTACGTGATGACGTAAAAGATTGTAATCCTTCATGTCAAAGTCCTATTTATCCACGTTGTTTCAATCCTTGTCCACGTCATCACGTAATCCGGCCCATCGGGATTAATGTACTAAAATTGACAAAATTGTAACATAGTGGACAATTTTTTAAAAGGAGAAAGTTTGTGTACCAAAACTGGACAACGGCCAATTTATAGGACCAAAATTGAACTTTTGCCCAATATGAGGTGCGGGACAATGTTATGGTAAAATAAATATATCGAATGTTAAATAGACATATATATGTAAGCATTTTTGTTGTCTATTTTGGAGATAATATTGTTAGGCAAACATTACTTTGACATAGACTATGCTTGGTAAGCCAAATAAGCTAGCTTATAGCTTATTTGAATAGCTTATAAGCTCCCTGTGTTCAAATAAGTCTCGTTTGGTAGGACGAGTTTTTTTAAAAACTCGAACTTATCTCATAAGCTACTTTAGGTAGCTTTTCAAATAAGCTAGTTGAATTTTTTATTTCAGCTAACTTATCAGCTAATTTTACCAAACACTTTTAACATATAAGCTAGCTTTTCAACTATAAGTTATAAGCTCAAAAATTACATATAGCGTATCAGCTAGTTTTACCAAACATAGTCATACTGGCATTAGGAAACAAATAACATTTGGCGAATGTAAAATATCGTAATATCTTAAATTTTGTTAAAAAGACAAAATATTGAATAATTACTTATTTATAAGTTCATTTTAAAAAGTTATTTTTTCTCCCATCTTGGTTCATTTTGTTAATTTCTATATATTATTACCTCAAATTCAGGTGTCACGACAAACGCAACGAACAAAAATACCACACAATGAATAATAGCAAAGGTACTACAAACCAAAATAAGCCGAAAGAAAAAGAAAATACACAATAATTGATGAAAATGGAAAGAACATAGCAAATTGATATCGAAGTTAATTTGACAAATATTGTCTACGTCTCCCGGTACTGCCAACAACAACGTCAACTTCATTAATTTCACAGACAAAATACAACTACAGTTAAATAACACATCAATTAAAATTTCTTCAACTAATAATTTTTTTTTCATAGATATAAATAAATGCCCCCCATATATTAGTGTGGAATGTCTGGATCATATTTGTCAACTTTTGGTGTGCCATACCGATATAGTCATATATATTATCATATATTGGCCTAAGTACCACATTAGGTGGAATGTAAGACGGAAGTTTCTTTTATTTATGTTTCAAACTGTTTTTAAAAAAGTATTATAATATAAGTTCGACAAACGGTACAAGTCAAATTTGTATTTTTTAGGGAGTAGAGTCATATTTTCAAATGACAACTGAAAATTATAAATTTTGATAAATTAAAAGTATGAAAATGCAAAATCCTAAGTTGAATAATGCAATATTTCTCGATCTAGTTCTATTATATCATTTCATTTTTTAGTATTTGACATTCAAATTAAAGAATAAAAAAAGTTCAAATCTAGTGGTTAGAATTAAATTGTAGTTAAATTAAAATAATTAATTAAATGTACATACTAAAAATTAAACTATAACTTACCTTATTATATTTTCGTTGTTTGTTTTTGCATTTTAGTATATTTTTTTTATTATTTAAATATTCATATTAATATATTTATATTAAACATTTGTGAGAAATAATTATTAAATATTATTTAAATTCATTCAAATATTATGATAATTTTTTCAATCAACCATCCAATTCTATTATATGTTATATGTATATAAATAATATTATTATAAAAATAATTTTTCATATCCAAATAGCTTATGCAAAACACAACCCTATTTACGCTACACAATATAAAGATAAAAACGCGATGCTTTACACTATACGCATTTTAAAACATTGGGTAGATTAGTGAAAAGCTAAGGGGGCGATTGTATACAAATTGTACAGTAAAAAAATCAATCAAAACTCAAATTTAACTCAACTTTAATTCAACTTCAATATCTCTAATAATATCAATATAATTAAATAATATCAACCAATCATTCTTACACATCACATCAACTTTAATTCATTGTGCATCTACGCACATAATTTTAACTAACTATCACTTCCAATCATTTTCTCCTACTTTTACATCAAATCAACTTTAATTATATTATTTTAATATATCCATTAACAACTAATCATACCACATTTTTTCAAACTTAACTATAGTTAAAAAATAACTAGTTTTTTACTAGTTGAATTTATATCCAATCACCCCCTAAGACTCATTTAATAAGTGAATTTCTAAACACCGCCCTTTTTACTACCTGCCGCCCCTCCTTGGACCGTTTTGCCCTTGGTACTTTTTTTACTGGCCGACCGTGTTTTTTATTATTATGTTATAAATTAGAATTGATTATTTTATAGAATTTATTATTATTATTATTATTATTATTATTATTATTATGTTAGAACTTCGAAATTATTATGTTATGTAATAATTTTTTGTATGATATATGTTTTTCTATTTATATCAAATAATTACTTTGTGGTTAAGTAAATAAATTTATTTTTTCAAATTAATATTAACATGTAATTTAATTAAAAAAAAATACGGCCGGCCGACAATACCGGCCGCACAAGGTAGCAAGTAGTAGATTAGACTTATCATATTCCAATCTCTAAATTGATGCACAAAATATAGAAATAATAATTGTTCCCACGTAGCACTGTCCCGGGCTATAGGCACGCTACTTTATTAATTATCTCAATCACGTTGAATCCATATTCAATGTTAATTTAACTCTACTATCTTTAATATTATAAATATAATTAAATAATATTAAAATCAATCATTCTTACACGTTCCATTAATTTTAATTCACTATTTAATCATCACTTCACATTAACTCTCTTCTATTTTTACATCAAATTAACTTTAATTATTTTATTTTAAATATTATTTTAGTACAAACTCAAAATCTTACTGATAACTAACTATAACAATTTTTTCAAAATTAACCCCGATGAACAAAAAAACTCATTTCGTGCGAATTTATTTGTAAACAAGCACACCTTTTAAAACTAAAATATGCTGTTGTTAAAATATTATTGTTAGTAATTATATTTAGAATCACAAACGACCGTAGATATTTATTTATGCCATATAAATGTAGATAGGACATAAGGTCTAGGTTTTTAGGGTTTGTTTGGATACAGATATACTTAATTCATACTCAAAATGGTAAAATTTCGAAAATGGTCCACTATGTTGGCTATTTTTCCAAAAAGGTCCATCATATATTTTTCCAAAAAGGTCCATCATATAGAGTGTCATCAAGAATGGTCCAGTAAGTTACCAATTTAATCAAAATTCGAACAATAACCAACATAGTGTACTAAAAGTGATCATTTTTAGTTGCCATATTTAGTACATTATGTTGGCTTTTGTACGAGTTTGGATTAAAATGACAACTTAGTGGACCATTCTTGAAGATGCCCTATATGATGGACCATTTTCAGAAAATGGCCAACATAGTGTACTAAAAATGAAATTTAGCCTACTCAAAATTTATCTTAACTTTAGTTCAATTCCACTAGCCTCAATATTATCAATATAATTAAATAACATCAATCAATCATTCTTATACATCACATTAATTTAATTCACTATTCATCCACTCACATAACTAGTAACTATCATTTCACATCATCATTCTCCTATATTATATCAAATCAACTTTAATTATTTTATTTTTAATATCATTTTAATATAAACCCAAAATCCCAATAACAACGAACCATATCATATTTTTCTAAACTAACACTGATTAACTGAAAAACCCGTTTTGAGCTGACATATTTGTATCCAAGCACGCCCCAAAAAGCTGAAATCCCTATTTTTTTTTTTTATTTTTTTTTTGTTAACGGAACGATAGATTCTATTACTCGCAAAATGTACATTAAGTTCGGCAATAAGCCATACAATCAACCCCGAGGGAAGAATAGGGGAACACACAGAATATGTGCCCAAAAGGAATGAAAAGAAGGCAGAACTGCTTGAGAAAATCTCGGCTAAGGCAATGCAAAGAGCCCGAGATGTTCCAGGACAATCCTGGGCTTGACTACGACGAGACAAGCACGACAAAAGAGGACTACCACTGCGCCAAAGCCTACCAGTCTCCAACCTACAAAATACAATCCCTACTACTATTTACAAACAAGACTAACAGGCAAACAACAAGGAAACAAACACCCCCTAAGAAAGCTACCAAGCAGAAAAAGCTAACAAATGTTGGAAAATTCCAACCACTTAGCCATAGCAATATTTACTACAGCAATCCCTTCCCTTCTAACTTTTTGAAAAACCCAGAGGTTTCTGGTTTTCCACAACCACCAAAGAAGATAGGTTGTGAGTTGAATCCTATCTTCAGAGGTAGCTGTGTATGGCAAAGAGCAAATCCCTAACCACCACTCCTTGAAACAGTCTGATTTCTCATTGAGGCCTTCCCAACTGATTGGGGCTCTGTGCCAAACTTCCTTAGCAATAGGGCAGTTAAATAGCATGTGCTCCATATTTTCAACATCCATCCCACACCTTCTACAAATAGAGTCAACCTCCACTCATTTGCTGATAAGCTTTGCATTTGTAGGCAATGTGTTGTTTAGGCATGACCAAAGGAAGTGTTTTATTTTGCCTTTTATCTTAAGCTTCCATGTTCTCTTTCTCATCTTGATGATGGTTGACTTGTCAGAGCTGCTTTCAGGTAAGTCCCAGCTTCTCATTTTTTTCTCTAGAAATCCATCATAAGCTGTTTTGACAAAAAATATGCTCTTTGGGCCCCCTTCCCAGATTAGGTAATCAGTTTTGTTGGGTTCCAGTCCTTTGATTTTCAGTATTGCTTGCACATCCCTGGGGTGGAAACTGCTGTTAAGGAGGTCAATGTTCCAGCTTCTCCGTGTGGTGTCCAGAAGGTCTTGTACTTTATCCAGATCAAGAGATGAATGGTTGAGTTTCTTAGGTATGCTATTGGGAACTCCTGGTAGCCAGGGAGTATCCCAAATGTGAACAGATTTTCCATCATTTATTTTAAAACAAGCTTTTCCTCTGAAATCATTCCTGACCTCAAGCCATGTATTCCACATCCAAGAATTTGTGCTCTTTTTCTGGGCTCTGAAGAAGCTCCTATTGTGGAAATACTTTGCTTTTAGTATTTTGCTGGCTAGGGAGTTTGGGTTAGAGAGCAATCTCCATAACTGTTTGCTGATCAGAGCTGAGTTGAAAGTTCTTATATCCTTGAAGCCTAAGCCCCCTTTCTCTTTTGGATGAGTGATAGCCTTCCGAGATTTCCAGTGAATGGTTCTCTTCCTCTCTGTGCCCTTGCTCCACCAAAAGTTGGCAAGCATCTGAGATAGCTTTTCCACCAAGGATTTTGGTAACAAAAAACAACTCATTGCATAGACTGGTAGGGCTGCAAGTACTGACTTTAGGAGTATCTCCTTACCTGCATGGGACAAGAACTTATTTTTCCAGTTAAGCATTTTCTTCTCCACAGCATCAATGATAAATTTGAAAGTCTCAGTTTTTGATTTACCTAGGCCTAAGTACCTGGTTGATTGGTGAGAGGAAATACCAGACAGAATATGGCAAATGTTGCTCTGGGTTATGGGGTTGGTGTTTTTACTGAAAAAGACTGTGGATTTCTGCAAGTTAACTTTTTGCCCAGTTATGAGTTTGTATTGGTGGAGAATGTTCATGATAAGGTGGGCATGAGCCTCATTAGCTTGAGCAAACAACAATGTGTCATCGACAAAGAAAAGGTGAGTGAGAGGAGGGCTGTGTCTGGAAATTTTAATGCCTTTGAAAAAATTTTTCTGGACTTCATAATATATGAGGAAAGAGAGAATTTCAGAGATAAGGATAAATATGTATGGTGACAAAGGATCCCCTTGTCTGATGCCCCTTGAGGGTGTCACATAGTCATCCACTGCACCATTAATGTTAAAAGAAAAAGAAGTGGAAGAGACACAGGCAAAAATCCATCTAACAAAAGAGTTATTAAACCCAAGCTTAAGCATAATCAAAACAATAGCATCCCATTCTACTCTATCAAAAGCTTTAGCCATATCAAGCTTAATGGCCATGTAGCATTTTCTACCACTTCTATGCCTATTCAAAAAGTGAATAACCTCCTGAGCCACAATGATATTATCCATAATTTGTCTATTAGGAACAAAAGCTGCTTGAGTGTCACTAATGCAAAAAAGGCAGGCAAGGCTTAATTCTATTAGCTAAGAGTTTGGAAATAATTTTATAGGAGGTGTTACATAAGCTAATAGGCCTAAAGCTACTTAAAACAGTGGGATTCAGACTTTTAGGAATCAAGGTTATCAGGGAATGGTTAATGCTTTTTAACAACTGGTTGGACTAAAAAAAACTAGAAATCATGATAAAAAGGTCCGGGTGAATAGTTTCCCAAAATTTTTGGAAGAAAAGGGAGGTCATACCATCTGGTCCTGGTGATTTGAAGGTGTTGATGCTGAAAAGGGTTTCTTTAATCTCCTCAATGGACACTGGTCTCAGAAGATCCTCATTTTGCTCATATGTGATGCATGCCCTCATGTTATGCAGCAGCTGGTGGCCCCCTGTTGATCCTTCTGAGAGGAAGATGTTGGTGAAGTACTCCTCAATAGAGTTCTTAATCTCCTGAGGAGACTCACTAATGGTAGAGTCTTCATTCTCAAGTCTGAGTATGGCATTGGTGGTTCTTCTTTGAAGTGTACAAGCATGGAAATACTTGGAATTTTTATCTCCTCCTTTTAGCCATTCTACCCTTGATTTCTGTCTCCAGTACAACTCTTCTTCTTTGTAACATGCATTAAGCTGTTTGTTAATTGAGTCCCAGGAAGTCCAGTCCCTCAGCCCTCCTTGTTGGTCCATATCAGCTAATTGAGCATTAAGTTTCTGGATTTTCCTTTCTCGAGTTGTTCTGAATTCCTTGCTCCATTTAAGGATCTCAATCCTAGTGTTTTTAATTTTGGAGCAGAATTGATACATAGGGGTTCCTCCCTGATGGGCATTCCAGGCATTGTGCATTACCTCTTGCAGTCCATCCTTACCAATCCATCTCCTGTCAAATTTGAATTTTCTTTTTCTATTGTCATTCACTTCTGGATGAAGATTCAGCAGTAGTAGGCTATGGTCTGATGCATTTCTGAAAATATTGGTGACATGGGCATTCGGATATTGAGCCAATTAATTCAGAGAGCCAAAGATCCTGTCGAGCTTTTCTTCCACAAATTCTTCACCTTCTCTTCTATTTCCCCATGTGAAATTGTACCCTTTCCATGCAAGCTCATTCATTTCCATTTGACCTATGAACGCCTTGAAACCAGAGAAAGATGAATCTTGCCTTCTCCTACCACCCCTCTTCTCTTCATGACAAATTATGTCATTCCAATCTCCACTTATGAACCAATTCAGCCCCCACTTCCCTTTTTCTTGCACTATCTAATTCCACAGTTCCTTTCTAGTCTGAGCTTCAGTGCTTAGATAAACAAAAATTCCCCAGCATAAAGTAGCCTTAATCGGGTCCCAAAATTGAATATGGATACTGAAGGAGTTTGAAAGTACACTAGTGACCTGGATATTACTGTTCCAACCTAATAGTAAACCTCCACTCTTGCCAATAGGTTCTACAGCAGCCCTGTTACTACCTAAACCCAAATTTCTACAAACGGTCTGTACAAACTTATTAGACTTCTTAGATTCAGAAAGAAAAATTATACCCGGGTGGTGGAGCCTTGAGATCTCCTTGATTTGGGAAACTGTATAGGGCCCACCCAGCCCTCTACAATTCCACACTATAACTCTCATGGAGACTGGTGGGGCCATTTTGGGTTGGCCTCCACTACCCTTTCCAATGTGAGTTTGCTTTTCTTCTTAGCTTGAATTGCTCCTTCTTAAATTTGGTTGTGGTTCGAGTCTACTGGATCTGGTTCTGAAGTGCTCAACTGTCTCTTGCCTCTATTGGTTGAGGTGTTTTTAGTCTCTGGGGATGAGGGGGCAGTTAGAGGAAGTTTTCTTTTCCAAGTTCTTTTAGGTTTTAAGGTTTGGTCCAATTGAGAGGTTTGGTCTTGAGAAAATTCAAGGGGAGAGGTAATGAGGTTTGAGTTTAAGAAGTGATTTGGTGGAGGAGAGTCTGTTTTGGGGTGTTCAATGTGGGTTGGTTCAGAGTCCATGGGGGTGGTAAGTAAGGGCTGAGGGAGAGGGTCTTTTTTGGCAGGTGCCTTGTTAAGATTTAGGTTAGGCTCTGGAGGGGTAGAGTCAGATGGTGCAGGCTAGGGAAGCTGGGATTCAGAGATTAACTTAGGAGGTGTTGGTGTGTTTGTTTGCGGGGTAGGGTTGGAAAGGTCAGGGTTAATAGGAGATGGGATGTATGCACTGTCTCGGGTTCTTGAGGAAGGCTTGGGATCTGGTGAAATGGATCTAATAGGGGTTGAGGGTGAGTTGATGTTATGGCCATAACCAGAGAGCAATGGAATTTCTTGCGCTCGCATCCATTCCCTATAAAGGCCTTCTTTCAATGATCTGTTGGTTATGTCTTCATCTCTCTTGTTGCAAGCTCTATCCAGGTGGCCCAGGATTCCACAGTAATAGCCCATACTAACAAGTCTCTCATATTTGAAATCCACCATGAGTTTCTTGCTGCCTAGTTGAATAGTAGCACATCTTAGAAGAGGCTGGGTAATGTCTATTGAAACTAGCAACCTTAAGCATTGACCTGCGAGAGGACCTCCCTGTGGAACTGACACGTTTTTAACATCTTTGAAGGCCATGCCTATTTTGAGCCCAACATCTGCCGATAACCAGTGGAGTGGAACATTCCAAACCTAGACCCATAAATCTAGTTCATCAAAGTCAGGGTGATTTGGGTAAATATCCTCTTTCCATTCCTTCAGAATAAGGAATTGGTTTTCGAAGGTCCATCCAACCCTTTTTGCCACTTTGCACTTGTCCTCTACTTCCACAAAGATGAATTGAAAATAGTTCGGCTTTAGTTCTCTGATCGTCACAGCCGACCTTATTTGCCAAATCTGATGAATCGCTCTTTTCAAACCAAAGAGATGCGCCTTTTATTTCCGATAATTTTTCCGAGTAGGCTTTTCCGGCATTCTTCCGAGCTGACATTAATGTCTCCTACAGCAATCGGGATGGCCGCTGCTTCTTTATCCGACAGCTGAAATGCTCCCAGCTTGCTAGCAATTTCCTCTGCCATGTGGATATCGAGAACCAGTGTATATGAGGAGATGTCTAAGGACCTAATCCTGGGGAGAAGGAGAAGAGAAAAAGAAAGGAAAAAGNCTGGGACACAAAAACAAGAAAACCCAAAAAAACCCTAAAACAACAGAAGAAAATAGATCGCTGGGAGAAAAAGAAGTACAGAAGATTGCTTAGCTTGAGTAATAACTCCTATATGGAGAATAGATCATGCCTGAGTTCGGTAGTTCCACCTTAATCGCAAGGAATTTGTCACCTCCATGGAGAAGGAATTCGGCATTTTACAACATATTAAATCCCTAATTTGTTATACGTCATAAAAGTTACTAACAAATCCCTAATTTGTTATACGTCATAAAAGTTAGTAATTTTCCATGATCGCAAGGTGAAAATCCAGCCCAGCTTTTTCTCTCTGTCTCCCCCTAGAACCCCTATTGGCTTAATCTAATTTTTGTTGTGTTCCTTCCCCGGCGGGACTGCCGGGCTCCTTGATGGTGGCCAGTTTCTGGTTGTGCGATGCGGGACTAATTTGGTGTCGGAGCCTGTCTTCTCGCGCAGTGGAGTTGGATGGGGCTCCCGAGTGGACCTCGTCTTTATCGGCTGTCATCCTGGGACGAAGGTCGTTGGATTCCATGGCGTTGAGGCAGCGGTGGGCTACAGGGTTGCTGCGAGGGTGGATTGTGGCCGATTACCGAGTAGGTAGTCGGGGAGAAAGACGACGGGCATCCTCCCTTTTGTTCTTTTTTCCCTGCTATTAAGAAAAAGGGACGACAGCTGGCGCGAGGATGCAAAATAGGATCTTATCCAATGAGTGATACGCCATTCATGGTAATGATTCCCGAATCTGGTTGAACACGACATCCATGCCTCGGACCTTCTTACTGCACCACCATCTTCAAGAAATGTTCAAGAAATGTTGGGGCAAGCTACTAAAGAGGGTGATCCCGACTTTCCATCAAACGAAGGGGGTCTCAAGTTTCCACTCTAGTTAGCGTGTGTTGTAGTTTCTGGATGAAATTTGGGCCGTGGTCCGCTCTGTTTCGTTGTCGGTCATGGTGTCGTCGTCGAGTGTTGCTTGGTGCGTTTGTCTGGCTGTGGGAAGCACTTTAGTCTATGGCTATAGTGTTTGTGTTTGTGTGTTTTATGTCTGCGTTTCTTGTTTTCTCTCTTTTTGTTGTGTTATTATCTATTTGAGATCTAGATCCTCATGTTGGGAGTTTAGTTAGATATTTTTGTGAGTGCGTTGTGTTGTGGGATCACATTGAATGCTTAACTACAATAACATGCTAGCCACTAGCTAGACTAAAACTTGAGCCTAAAGCTTGCAGGACCATAATCTCCAACCAATCCAACTCAAAAAATTTATTTAAAAGTACTATATCCCCCTTCCAATTAACTTTAATCCAAGATTTTTTTTTTTTTTTATTTTTTCTTTTCTGATTAGTCCCTATATAGTAGAGAATCTAGGCACGCAAACAGTAAATCAAGAAACTTTGTTATTTTCTTTAATCTATTTTGGAATGTTCCGCTAGTTGAATCAGTCATCTGTCTAATCAAATCCAACATAGAAATGGCTTCATCTGTTGCTAGTGAGATATCAAACACAGAGTTCTGATTTTTGGGTCCGGACTATGTATGTATGAAGCGTCGTCTAATTTGTCAGAAAAAACCTTTTCTTTTTCTTGTCTGCATATATAATAGCATTTTTGTCTTCTTCACATTTACTGATTTTACATGCTATCTTCTGGAGTTCACATGGATTGATGGTAATTTTTTATTTTTTTTTGGTAGAAATGCGATTTACATTAAGTTTTCTGGGTTCTTATTTTTATCCACTAGATTTTTAAGGTTACACTTACTAGTATAGTTCTTATAGTTTGTCATTTCAACTAATAATTTATTTTTTATCATTATAATTTTGCTATAGTAATTGAAACTTTTTGTCACAATTTCGCCTGATTGCTGACATTCATCAAATCAAACTTATCCACTATCACTTACATTTCTAGCTTAATCTATCAAACCCCAAATTAGGATTTTTTTTTGTGTGTGTGTGAACTTCTATATATATATATATATATATATATATATATATATATGATGTGGTTCAAATGAGAACCAAGTCTTAGCGTGAAAACCGTTAGAATCGCTATTTTTAATTGTATTATAATCATATGACTGATTGTAATTTAGTGCTATTCTTAATCAGGATGTATTTTATTAAAATTAGCAACTCAATTTATGTTAGCATTTATAAAAATGATAGCACTATATTGTAAAATTTAAAATAGCATCATACACAATTAAAAGTAACATCAAATATGGTTCTCACGGTTCTCAGACCAAGATTAGTTTTTATTTTAACCAACCCCAATATATATAATTGATTAATATGCTTGAAACTGTAGACTCTTGTTATTCATGAAATATAGTTATTTGATAAAATTGTTACACGCGTGAAACATTTGATAAGAGTAGTGTGTGTTTCAAAGTGATGAAAGAAAGATTCTGTTGTATTGATACTGTGATATCAAAATTGAATGGTGACTTTTATCACAAAACAGTTACACTTACAAGTGTGTGTCAGTGTGTGTACAAATAAAGTTAGCATGGATCCCTCTGCAGAGTGGTACACACACATTCACTACAGATGATGCCAAGCATTTGGTGGGCCCACCTGAGGATATAATACATCCATCATTTAACCCTAAAAAGTCACCAAAGTACCAAAACTGAAAACACTGTTGGTTGCATTTTACCACCAAATGAATGTGCTTCATCTAGTAATATAAATAAAGGCATAACACGTTTTGTTAACCAAAGGGAAAAAAAAAAAGTAGGACATGATTAAGTCGTCTCAAGTAAGATTGTGTTGTTTGTTATTTTGTATAGGGTAAATAAAGAAAAATGGAACTTTTGTACTTCATTCTTTAGTGAGGTTGTTAGGTGATTCTCACAGTTAAATAATCATATTCTTTAACGGTCATGCATATTTGTAAATTGAAATGTCATATTTTAAACAACATAAACAAAAATATTAAAAGNGAACAAGATCAACCATTTGTGAGGTTAAGGCTTAAGAGTTAGATGAGGAGAAAAAATAAATATAGTTGATCGTCTTTATTAACTGCGTGTAGTAAACCCTAACCCGCCGGCCAGAAGAGGCGAAGTAGATTAAGCGGCCACATGAACCACCGGTTCAGAACTTATATTTATAGGACTGGCTTACTAAAATTTTTACTACAAGTATTTAAATGATTTAAATTTTTACTACAAGTATTTAAATGATTTTTACTACTAAAATTTTAGTAAACCGCCTGAACAAGATCACCGGTACAAGTATTTAGACAGTTGGACTTGAAAATGCGTGTAGTAAAAAATACATAGAAATTAAGGAACAATATTCCTAAAAGATTGTATATTATTCAAGAAAATTCCAACTATTTCGTAGCAAAGGCATGGAAAAGAATTTTAAATAATACACTAATCAAGTAGTTAAATATAGAACTGATAATGCAATAACCAAAATATCGAATTCCCAACAAATAATTTTGAATATAATACATATTAACTTTATAGTAAATTATAGAACTGATAATTTCAAAAAAAGAAAAAAAAAAGCGATCAAATTCCCGATGCCTAATTTCAAGTTTTCCAAATAATTTTGAATAAATTACGTAATTATAGCATGGTGCAGAGTTAATAATGTGCAACTATATATCTATCAGACTGTATTACTGTTGGCCTTAAAAATTGAAATGACAAAGCTTGAATGTATTGTAGTTGAGCAGAAAAGTAATGCTGTAAATGCCCACGTGGACCAAATAATTGGACTTCATTTGGTACTGCTGTGAGAGCATCTCCAATGCTATAAGTGTGAAAGACCATTATTTTTAACACATGTCAATTAGTGATTGTAATGTTAATCCACATTGGAATAATGTTAAAAGACTAAAAATTTTAATGAAACTAGTATCTCCAATGCATCAATTTGATAAAAAGGTATTTGTATAGGTGGACCAATTAAATAATTCATTGATACAAAAAAAATAAAAAATTAAAACAAATATAAGTAAATTGATGAGTCATCATGTTTAACATGGTGTTAGATATTAGAAAGTGTGCTCAACATTGTCAACATTAAATGACATCCACCTCATCATGAAAGAGTTCATGACAAGATGCATTGGAGAAAAAAATAGAGACACACTTTCAAAAGTTGATGATATGGATGACTTTTTATAATGTCAAAAGTTGCATTGGAGATGCTCTGATAAGTTAAGCTTTTTGAAAAGGATTTTGAAAGAGTTACGGTGTCTTAATAATGTTTACCACAATAATATAACACAAATTCTTATATAATACGGATTATTTGTTAGATAAATCTACTCGTTATATTTATTATAACAAAAATGCATATTTATATTATGAATATCACACTTTTATTTATGTCAATTTTAAAGTGACATCAATTTGAAATTATGTATATTTGTTAAAAAAAAAAAAAAAAAAAAAAAAATTTGTNGTAAAGCCACCTAACCATTAGGTTTGTCCAACAGTTATATATAACAATAAATAATAATCACGCATGTTGTAGACTGCTAATTGTTAAACATTTGTAGTTTCTTAGGAAAAATGCATATTTATACTACAAAATAATATACTTTTGTCATTTGAGCATTAATATATAAAAAATATGATGTCCAACCCTTAAAAACGTACCCAACCATAATAATCCAACAACAAAAGTACATTGTCTCAATAACGTCCCAAAATAGGCTGAAAGCATGATTGATTGGGATTAATTATCATGCTAATCAAAGGAAATCTTAATAATACTAATTCTTTTTGGCTCTATTACCAACCTAAAACCTTGATCCCCTAATTTTCGGTGAGCCCCGTGTGGGGACAACATATATATTTTTTTTTCTTTTAAATTTAATTCGTGACTAAAACAGTACTGTCATTTTTTTGACCTAATTAATGGCAATGAGTCGCAAGGTCACATGCAAACATTTCTGTTTCATTTCCAAGTATACGGTTTGGTTCTGTTTACATTGAATACGCTTTAGGGCTATACAAACTTTATATAGTGAAACAAATAAACACAAATTGACCTTTCAATTGATGGGATATTATGTCCACATGGATGCTGCCACTTTTGAAATTGACGAATGCTTCATGCACTTAAACAAATTTCATATTGTGGGGTGAATTTTTTATGTTTTTTTTTTTTTTTGAAAAAAATAATAGANTATGTAGCTATAGCATAAAAATGCACCAAGAAATAAATATTAAACACAAATTGTTGTATAAAGTAGTCTAACCATTAGTCAAGTTGGTTTGTCATACTTCTCCCAAAAAAAATATAAATATGCATACTTATACTGTGAAATATATACCTTTTTCTCATATATTATTTAGAGTATGACATTTAATTTTGAAAGTGAATATATATATCAAAAAATAAGCATGCCTAAAAGTAACCTTATTGAATATTATGTATGGCACATAGAAAATAAATATCAATGCCTACATATAAAATCTGGTTTTCGTGTGCGCTAGAAACTATACATATGGAATTAATGAGCTTCATGAGTTCTTGAGACAAAATTATATTACATGATAAACTGGAAACAATTTCATAATGCTTTGCTTGCTACTTATCACTACCCCATCTCATAAATTGTCCATGATTCTTTCTTGAGGCTTGACGAAAGTAATTTTTGCTCATCACCCCAAAGACCAAATACAATGAATATAATGAAATGAAGCACAGGCCGCATTTTTTAAATTTTTCCAATTTTTCCTATACTTCTCTACTATAGGCAACACAACAGTTGCAATCAAAATTTCCAGTTTCTAAAAGATAATAACATTAAAATAAAAAATCTAAAACCATCTTTTTCTGTGGATGTAACTATTTCGCACCAAACAAAAGTAAAGAGTCGAAGAATCATACCTATATTCCTGCTCCCGGCACCAATGTATGGATCAACCATTTAGCTTCAAAGACTACAAAGATAAACAAAACAAAATCGAAATATCCAAACATGAGCCAAGTCTCGAGTATTTTAGAGTTTGTATTGAAAATTGAATTAACCTTCAACTGGAGAAGACTCTGTTCTTCATAATCCTTTCTACCTCGGCAGCACTCAAATGCGTGATCCCATTGTCTCTCAACCATCTTTCTTCCACGATCAAACTACTTTTCAACTGCTTTTTGACCGTTCTCAACAGCTTCAAACCATCATTGACCTTTGGGAAGAAACCTTCGGGCCTCAAGCACCAGGCCCCAAATAACCCGAATAAAATTACCAAATCATTGCAAAGTCTCTCGACCCCACTATCGTGAAACTTCACGTTGCCCATCAGTAAGCTCGTAAAGATCAATTTATCTATACTGGCAGCCAGACTTCTCCACACCCTCGTGAAATCCACTCTGTTCAAATTTTCTTCAAATACCGCTAGTTTACCCTGCAAATAATCCAAAGCTTCCACAAAAGTTCGGGAAAGTGTTGAATTTTCTTCACTTTTTTCCTGCCATTGTTTTTTATTCTTTATATAATCCCGGGAAAGTGAATCGAAACCTCTCAACACGACAGTTGATAGCTTCTCAATCCACTCGTTTCTAAAGCCCTCCAGTTTCTTTATTTCATCATGATAAACACCACCATCGCTCGCTTCCATTTCCAGAAAAAATACATCCTCACAGAGTTCCTTCAAAAGAGATTCAAAGTGACGAGCAGCATTAACAGATTTTGCAACTTTAATAAGAGCATTATCGTCGGTCAATGCAGTTAGACCCTCTGCTTCCTGACACCTCTGTTTCAGACAATCCAAAAACTTGCATATTATCGGTCCACCTGTCAATTTAACAAACCGCGACCTCAAACACGAGCTTGGCAGAGACCGACAACGATCGATCATAGACGAGAGACATCTGAATACAGCTGTTGAAACAAATGGTGATTTATTCCTTTCATCAAGACCAACTTCCTGGCCTTCAACAACCCAATTTCTTTCATTTTCTATTTGCGAGTTTAATTTATAAAGCGCATCATGAAGTTCTATTTCAGCCCACAAATCAAGCCAGTCGGGTCTATCAATGAAAACATTAAATGACGACATCTTTTGCGTATTGACATCATCTTCAAGAGAAAGAAGTACTCCTGACTGTGCAGCTAAAGCCTGTACTCGTTTATCGAATGCAATCATCAGGTCCACAAGATGCAGCCAGGATAGTCTCGCCTGTGATTGAACCTCACTATCATCACTCTCTTTTTCAAGCTGGCCTATGCATACGGGGAGTATTTCCTTCGCTAAGTAAGTCGATAGTGAAGATACCATAGCCGATATCCACTCTTCTCTGCAACTGTATCCGGACAGCATTGCTTCATCAACAAGCGGTTGCAGTAGGTCATCCATAGAGTCCACATAGTCTCGAGTGATTTTGTACACAAGGGCAAAAATGTATTCTTGCTTTTCGCCCCACTTTGAGAAATGGCGTTGAGACGCGATGGAAATGGGATTCACGAGCTCCTCAATAGCCCAAAGTGGTTGATGAAGATTGATATCCCCATAATGCCCCTCGAGCTGCCGAGCTTTTCTTTTTCTCTGCAATTCTTGGAGGCCGCACAGTGAAAGGAAGCTTTCACAGTACTGGGCTTTCAGGTCTCCTTGCATTGTGAAAAGAGGGTTCTGCACTTCGGATGATCCTTTGGTATCGGGATTTGATGGATTTAAGGTTGATAGAGGTGGGGGCCACCCGAGAGAAACAAGAAGTGCACGGTGATCAGCAATGGCCTGAGGTCTTAGAATGGCCAAAGCTCTGTCAATTCTATGATCGACAGCTGAAACGAGTCGGATCCATTGAGGATATGTCTTCGTAACTGCACAAAGAACGTCTTCTGTTGATCTAAGAGATCTGAGAGCAACTACACGCATATCCTGCGAAGCATAATCAAAGCGAGAAAGGTGTTAAATATTTCCAACTTTTTACGAGGTCATCTTTTCAATGCTCCATAGTCCATTCAAGATATTAGCATCTGCTCACCGATGTTTCAGTTGTAGCACTAAAGATTGAAAACAAATGAAATATGCGTACTGCACTCTCAAATCTCAGAAGCTTTATCAATTAAAGCATTCAAAAAGAATTCTATCTTAATAACACAAACGGAATAGGCTAAAACAACCATGTCTCAGTTTCAAGAATTAATAAGACTAAAGAAGACTGAAATACGTCTGAAATCAAGTAATCAACCATGCCTCAGTCAATGCAGACAGTATGAGCTAAGGCTTAGAAAACTCCCACCAAATCATGTTTGATTAATGCATGTGAACATGGTTCGCCTTTCTTCTTTACTTCACGATGTTATTCAATTTATCAACAATTCGTTACCTCAAAATACCAACATCACGTAAGAACCATCATTTTTTATAAACACAGAAAAAAGATGTAACAGCTGATAAATTTGCCAATCAAATTATGATATCCAACTATTTAAAGGAGTTTTAGAGAAAATCTTGTCTAGGTTGGGACTTACTTCTAAATTTTTTGTTGATGGGTGCCTCTTCAATGTTCTATTCATAGTGGATGACACAGCATCTTCAACATCACCAACCAATGTATCAAGCTTCAATGCAGTCTCTGAGTGTACGAGAAGATTTGTTATGAAAGAACACAA